TACACTGCTACGCTGAATCCTTGAAAAATCATAATTTCCTCAAATGAAGTCAGATTTGGACGTTCTCTATATGCACGTTCTCGGTTTAACGAATACTACGACTTTCGTTTAGATTACTAAGGCTAAAATTTTTTTTATCAAAAATTTAATTTTTACGATACGCAGACCCGTGTCGGTTTATTCGTGAAACTTCAACGGGTCATAACTTCTTCGTTATAAATCGGATTTCAACGTTCTTTATATGTCTGAAATCCTTGTGACATATCTATAAATTTTGTTAAGGTTATTTATCCTAAATAATTTCTATCAAAAAGTCATTTTTAACGCTTATTGTCTCTAAATTGACTAGCTCGAATCTGCGGGCGTTACAGTATCTTATAATAGGTAAAAAGAACTCATTTATTTTACATAAGATGCACTAAAACTCAATGGGTTAAATTACAAAGAGATTTACTGTGAATTAACCGTTCGTAGTCTTTGACCTAAATTCCAAGATGTGGCACATATATTATACATATTTTGTCATTAAGGATCGGTACAAGCAGTGCCAATTTCACCGTGCTACACCTCTCGTATCCCGCATGATGTTTGCGCTTGCCCCACCGCATGGCCAACATCACTCCAATCCACCCACCGTAAGGACCATGTCCCGAGTGATTGTCTAGAGAAACCACTCGATGCCTCTTTTGGATTAAGCTCTTATCCTATATGTATATTCCAACCTAATATGCTACCTCACTATCCGGATAGGATACACACCTAATTCTAAGTTGCTACCCTTAACCCTGCTAAGTGTATTCCCCTTTTTATTAATATATTATTAATTCTTCACTGAAGGAAATACAAACTTAACTAAGTAATCATGCTCATTGTGATTATAATTAAAGGCATATTACTTCCCAAGTTACTTCTTATATAAGCATGCAAACTAGTAAATACAAGTTAAAACATTTTACATCACATACAAATTCATGTACATACCATCAATTCATCATTATGGTTTATCACATCACTAGCATGCTTTTCCTTGTAATCATATACAAATATTTCCAAGAAATTATAACATGCATACATCACATATAAACAACACAAAACCCTCTTTCTATCATTGACCTAACACACCTATCACATCAAAAATAGGAATCTAGCATCTAATGCATCCTAAGCTCTTATACACAAAAAGGAATTATCATTACCAATAGAAAATCATACACAATAGGGGTACATGCAACCTATACAACCTATATTCATTCAAATCTATCTAAGATATGGAATTCCATAACAAAGTACATAAATTCCACAAAGATTAACTCACCTTTGTCAAAAAATGCTCTTTCCCACTACGAGTCATGCAAGAACTTGAGGTATCAAGCTTTCCCCTAATACAAAACAAACAAGTATATTCCTAGATGCTTTCCAGATTAAAAGTAACTATTCAATGTCCCCAAACATGTAAACGAATTATTTAGACCAAATTCCCATATTTACACCCGAAACAACAGTCTATTCAAGGTCACTTTAACACCACCAAAGCCTGCAAAAGATACAATATTTTTCTATATTCCAGTATTTTAGACTTTTAGCTTTCCAAGACTGCTTGTAGAGGTCCATACGATTTTCTACAAATTTCTGTGGATTTTACAAAATTGCATATCAATGTAGGTAATTTCGGACCAGTCTGTGGAAATGATGATTTTCAGCTTAGTTAGATTCAATATAAGGTCTAGGGAAAAATTAAGGACATACTAGACTCAAAATCGGAACTTTGAGAATTTACAGATCCTAAATCTGACTCCCAATGATTTTTCTAGAATTTTTACAATATAGGGGAAAAATAGGTAATTTCATATTATTTCCCAGCTTGATCCATGTTCAGTGTTTTGAGCATAAAACAAAATCCACAACTCCAAAACAGAATTATATCCAACTTTCTAGGAACTAGACTCGATTTCCCATAACTTTGTTTTTTTTGGTGATTTTCTCTAATTCGGACCAGAATGACCTTTATAACCCTCACAAGATAGGTCAGCGAATCTGTCGAGATTTCTATTTTTTTTTTGACAAACATCACCATATCCTACTAAATTGTCCATGAACACAACAACAACCATTTCTAAGGAATTAATACATAAATAAAGGTTTAAAGATATATTAATAACCTCTAGAAATCTTGAGGAACACTAGGAGAGATTGGATGAGAAGAACCCTACACCAATTCCATCACAAATTCATCAAAACACTTCAAGAACACCCACAACCTTCACTTGGAACACACCAATGATCAAAGATGGAAAATCTCCCACTAGAACTCTCTCAAGTTGAATTCTTGGCTGCCATTAGGGTTACAAACCCGACTATTAGGGCTAGCTTCACTTAAATACCTCATAACTTTCATAATTGGCCCTCAAAGTATCACAAAATGACTCCTAGACCCATATACATGATCAAAGTTCATTTTATTACACTTTGTACCTCTAAAGATAACTTTAAACAAATGAAAATGTTATTTTAAGAATAAAACTTAATGGAACACTAACATCGATGATGGATAGAAATTTGGGTCGTTACAACAAATTTATCCTCCCTTTCTCACGTTACCGTATGTGGGTGTGACTATAGTAAAAAGTCAATGGAGGTCAACATTGAATCGTCATTTTTACCTCAAAAAAATCCCACACACAACACTCACTCCACCGACGACGTCAATGATATCCCTCCGATCAACGACATAAAAGATTTCTTTCTACAATTTAAAATCGAATCAAAGCAGTTATGCTACATTGCTGCCTTTGTAATGTTCATTTCCGCTTGTCAATACTCACTTGGCGCAGTAAGATATCCACGATTCTTGATGTAGCTAGAAAACTTTTTTGGTCGCAGATGCACAATATGGTTTTGGAGATCAATGCCTTTAGTGAACGTGGAATTAATGTGGTGAGGCAGCAAATACAAGATTTTGCCAGCACTTACAGCTTCTCCTTTAGGTAGTTCTTGTTATGTGTTCACGTATTCACCAAATTAGGTCTTTCTTTTGGTTGTTAAGAATTTGTTGATTTTGGAATGTTGCTTGATCATAAGTTCTTTTGTTCGTGTATCTCCTTCTTGTGTTGTTTATCGGTGCAAAAGCCTCGGTGAAGCTCGTTCTTCTGGATGAGGCGGATGCAATGACAAAAGATGCACAATTTGCTCTTCGTAGAAGTAATATACACTGTTAAATAAATATATGGGTATGTGTAGTTCACGACCTTGTTTATCACAAATATCTTTGCATTATTTTTGATTTCATCGTCATCCTCCCCTGTAACCCAAACCCACTTGCAAGTTTGAGCATCAATGGTTTTTTTTGTAAGTTTGAGCATCAATGGTTTTTTTTTTTGCAAGTTTGAGCATCAATGGAGGAAGAAGAAAATGATTTTTGTGTACGTTCTGGGTATTTTCTGAGTATGAATTCTAGATTATAATTTTTAGGTTTAATTATAGATTGCAAGAGGTAGAGATGGTGGTGGACGATGACAATAATTGTTGTCAATGTCAGTGGTGGCGGTTAATGGCAGATGTGGTTGTAGAGCATCTGAACTCCAGAAGATAAAAACTTACAATTGATGGCGACATACGTTTTGTTTTCCGGCCTATTTTTGCCGCTGGTGAGAAGGGGTGAGGACTAGGGAAGAAAATAGTTTGGGGAAGAAGAAGGGATTGGGGGTGGTGAGGTGTTATTTATTGTTTTGTTTTTTTTAAATCGTTTTTAATTTAAGAAAAAAGTAAAAGAAATAAAAAAAGGATAGAAATATCATTTTATATGGATTAGGGATCAGACATACATAAGTTGAAACCATAGAGACCTTCTTTTACACCAAAAATAATTAGGGATCAAATTTGATGTCTAAAAACCACAAGGATCATTTATGAAAATCATTTATGTTTTATTGTTCTAAAAGGTTTCAGGTTTGTATATGTTTAAAATCGAATGCTTTATTTTTTTCCCTTTCCGATAAAGTTTGTAATAAATTAATAATGTTTATTGTAAATAATTTGAACTAATTAAGCCAATACTACCAACTTTCATATAATAATGATGCTCTATTTCATATACCGTAATATTGGCATAGTCGACAAGTGATTGATTAAAATTCTAGTTAACACTTAACGATTCATATTATTAATTTATTATAGATAAAATTTTACAAATGGTTCTTTTGCTTTTTGATTTTTCTCTAAAATAGTCGTTATGAAACTTTTTTTCTAACATGGATAGTTTCTATGAAGCAAACCTTGTACACAAATGATCCTTATGACTAACTTTGTTAACAGATTCTGTTAAGTGCTTTGGAGCAAACCTTGCACACAAATGGTCCTTATGACTAACTTTGTTAACAGATTCTATTAAGTGCTTAGAAAATGACGAAAATACCCTTTGTTTTTAAACATAAATGGTCCTTAGGACTCTCTCTCTCTCCCTCTCTTTTTCTCTCTCCACCATAGTCATTTAAACCTATAATCAGCGATCAAATCCTTGGCTATAAATCTGAAACTCGTTCTCTTCTTCTCCCTCTCAATGCTAATGAAAACATCCCAAAAGCAAATAAAAAACCCAATAATTCCAAACAAACACCAGATGAAGATCAAGGTACCGATTTGTGTGTGGGGGGTTTTTAAATTATTCCCTAGAAGATCATACAACCACTGGGAAGTAGCCATCGAAGGTAACTGATGGTGAATCGACCTTGTTTGGGCATAAATTAGGGGAAAATCAAACCTGCAAATCAGTTCCAGGTGAGAGAGGGGAGAATCAGAAACAGATAATAAGAAGAATCAGAAGTTGTGTGTGTGGTTTTCATCGCAGGGGCACATGAGTAATAGGTGTTGCAATGGCCTCCCGACTTCTCTCTGCCGACTATGTGCTCACCATATACGCTCGAACCCTTTCCAAAACCCTATCACTCTAATTGCAAGGTGCCTATCTCGTTGACTCCATATCGAAAGCCGCCAAAGCAAGCGATATGGTATTCACAATGTTGGAACACCCATCAGATGTTCAACAAATTGTCTTAGAGAATCATGATTCACTTCTCTCTTCTTTAAAACCTGACAATATCATAGTCGATCACACTAGCAGCCACCAAACTCTTGAAAAACAGATTTTTGATGTTGCCCGTGAGAAGAACTATTGGTATGTCGATGCTTCGGTATCCGGTGGTGATATTGGCGCTAGAGAAGGGAAATTGGCTATAATAGCTATCAGAGATGAATGCGTTGTGAAGTGGCTATCTCCTTTGTTTAATTTAATAGGGAAACCGACTTACGTGGGTGTTGTTGGGTATGGAAAAGGTTGTAAAATTACTGACTAGATCACAATGGATGGGAGTTTGTTGGGGTTGAGTGAAGGAATGGTGTTTGTTGAAGTGGTGGGGATGGTTAAGGGACGGTGGTTGGTGACAGTGAGGGGGAGAAGTTGCAGGGTCTATAGTGATGGATTTATTTACGAAAATGATGATCAGAAGAGAATTTAGGCCTGGTGGGTTTGCTGAGTACGTGGTGAAAGATTTAGGGATGGTTTTAGATGTTGTGGAGGAGTGATAAAGTGGTGGTATTGCCTGACAATGCTCTGTCTAAGCAAATATTTTCTAGTATGGTTGCTAATGGAGATGGGAAGCTTGGCCAGGTGGGTCTGCAAAATCGAGATGCTTTTTATGTGTGCAACCCTAACTACTTTGCCTCATCTTCTTTCCGAAAATGTCATTGATATTTTATGATTGGAGAAGTTAATGCAGTAGGTGGTGGTGGACGGTGGGCGGTGGATGGTGGGAAATGGCAGTAGGTGGTGGTGGGTGGTAGCAATTTTTGTGTGCTATTGAATGTGTGCATTTTCTGAATATATTTTGTTATTTATAAGGAATTAAAACAAATACAAACTAAGGATATTTTCGTTATTTCATAAACACTTAACATAATCTGTTAACAAAGTTAGTCATAAGGACCAGTTGTGTGCAATGTTTGCTCGAAAGGGACCATCCATGCAAAAAAAATGTTTCATAAGAACTATTTTAGGGAAAAATTGAAAAGCAAAAAGATCATTTGTGAAATTTTGTCTTTATTATATAACACTTGTAAGGTACCAAAACCCCAGGTCAAAATTTTCATTTTTATGATAATAAAAACACCCAATTTAACAAAATTATGTTCAGTCAAACCATTTGTTCATAAACCATTATTCAGGAGTTATAAAGAAGACAATATGGAAACTCAAATCATAAATCTGCTGATGTGTGTACAGTACCACCTTTGCAATCCGATAAGTACTGTAAAATATTTAATCCACAACTGTAAGCACAAAGCTTAGTGAGTTCCAAAAAAGATCTCATACAACACAACATAATAATTAGTTATGTTCTAACACCAGCCCTAGAACTATCAACAATCTCGAATGTCACATACATCACACAAAATAATCAACTATGGGTTTACAACAACGGTGGGGACTATCTGTTGTCCCAGTGGGCTAACAACATGCCCTGTGGATTAACAGCACACCTCACGGGTTATCAGCAACCCTGGGGACTATCGGCAGTCTCATGGACTCACATCAGTCCAAGAGTTATTAGAAACTCAGTTCACATATAGCAATAATCAATAGATAAGACCTAGTTGGTCAACATATACTACCACACAGGCAAGTATAGTGAGAAGACTCACCTCGCGAATAGCAGCTAACACCCAACAACTCACACACCGGGTAGACATGTACAATGAGACACCTAACAACAATAAAGAAGTACCCTCTCAGGCTACACCTAAAACCCCAAAATTGACCAAAAGTCAACCATGGTCAAAGTCAATGGTCAAGGTCAAGGTCAACCTCAGCAAGACTCCATGTCGTGGCCACCCATAGGCTACTTCGTGGGCACTAAAAGACAAAATAGTCAGGCTCCCTCCCTAGTCTCCATGATGTGGACTCCAAAACACCACATCGTGGGAACTGGGTTCCAACAACTTAACATATTTAGCTCTTAACCTGTTAATCCATTCCTTTAAACTCTTCAAAACCCTTCGTAAGGCCTAATACTTCACAAAGATCAGTGCTTTTCAGTCTTGCATGCCCAATGCAAGTCTTATACTCAAAATTAGGTCAAAATGGAGAAATACCACCAAAGATTACATGCAAGAAGCCCAAAATAGCAACAAACTTCAGATCTTGAACATATGTCCACTAAGGGACCTCAATATTCCATAAAGTTGCGAAATTTATGGATTCCAGGCATTCTACTCAACCCAACAAGAAGAAGAGTGGGCAAAAACTTAGATCTAGCATGCTTTAATGAAAAAGGCAATGACTTTATACCTCCCAAAGGTCAAGAACGAAGTGAAGATGCAAGATCTCTGTTGGAACCAAGCAACCAACACCAAAATAAGCTCCTTCTTTCTTCATCCTTCACAAGAATGGCTTCACACACTCAAAACATACATATGGAGGCTAGGTTATGGCTGCCAAAATGAAAAACCCTTGGAGTTAATGCCCTTAAATAGGGCTCCAATCCCGAAATTAGGATTTTGGCCCAAACCAGCCACCACATCGTGGCCAGCTATATGCCACGTCGTGGTGTTGTGTAGATGCACTTTCTTCCTCATCAAATGCCATACCGTAGCCCACCCAATTCCATGCCGTGGCCATATAAAAACTCCAACTTTTAAAATGATTAACTTAAGATAAGAATTCCTGCAGACTGGATGTTACAACTTTACTTATACGTTGTAAGATAACTTTGTTATAAGTGATCAATATTCAAAGATAATTCACGATAACAAAAATATTGAGATATCATTATGTTGGATTAATTTTGGGTAAATTACAATTATCATCCCTCGTGCATGTGTTAAAATGCACGTTTAGTCCCTATTTTCAAAAATTAACTTGGACCGTCCCTCATTTGGTTAAAAGGTGCACGTTTGGTCCCTCGCCGACTTAAAATGACTATCTTACCCTTTTCCTTTTATTTTTCAGCTTTATAATTTTTTATATCATTTTTTATTAATTATAATTTTAAAAAAATCAAGTGGTCCTTATATCACCCTTGGAAAAACCCATCCAATAAGCACCACCCAATACCTCCGACAACCATCACCCAATACATCCAATAGTCACCTATAATCAGCTTCTCTGACGATCCCATATCCACAATCATGGTGTTCAAAAAGCTCAATGATATAAGCTTCCCTGTCTGAAAAACAAACCCTAGAACACTAAATTGCAGATAAACAAATACACACGTGTACGTGTCTGTCTTCGTGTTTGTGTATGGGCTGATGAACACTTATTTGAAGTTTTCAAGATCTACACAAGTACTTGAAGGATTTCTTTCTTAAGGTTCCGATGACATCTGTGACGAAACACTAGCTGAATTCGATGGTGGCGGAGCTCGATCTGTCGAAACCCTAGCCGACGTCGATGGCGGCGCACAAACCCTAGCCGCTTCTCGTTTTTCCGGTGAGAGGGTATCGAATCTGCATTCGTCCCAAAGCTTCTACCTTACCGTTTAGATCTGCACTCGAGCAAGAGGCTAGATCCTCTTACGGTACTGATGATGGAACAGTGACAGGTGGTGTTCGAAGGGGGTGATTATCGGCTGTTGTAATGAGGTGGTGGTTTGTAGCTATTTTCCAGGGAAATAGGTGGCAGTTGCACCGATTTTTGGTGGTGGTCGTGCATTCCAGTGGTGGTTGTGTATTCCGGTGGTGGTGGTGCTTAAGTCTTTTTCAACAAAATAGAAAGAGACAGATGTAAATATTAGGTTTAATAATTAATTAGAAAAATCAAGAATAAATGAAAAACAAATTGCAATGGGCATTTTAGTCATTCCATGTCTCACAAGGGATAAAGCATGCAAATTTATACTAACGAGGGACGAAACGTGTAACTTTTTACGATATAAGGAACGGTAAAAGTTAATTTTTGAAAATATGGACTGAATGTGCCTTTTAACACCTACATGAGAGACTATTGGTGTAATTACCCTTTAATTTATAACCAATTTTTACAAGTTTGAAGTGTTTGATATTTTGGAGAGATAAAACCCACTATATATTTCCACATAAGATAGTGTTAAGAGAGTATGGATTATGGAAGCAATTTGTACGCACACTTTGAATCATAATTTTAAAGGAATCCTTTTATATTAGTGGCCGATCAAGCGGGAAATGATTTCTTGGTAGATTATAAGATCCCTTGAAGTGCAATAGCCTCTTTATATTCTTGATTGGAATATCTTTTACCTTCTACTCTTTACATTTCCAAGTGTTTTGTTGATAAGAGTATAACTTCTGTTGGAATACCTATTAATAGAATTACGTCTTAGATTCATAAAAATAAATATTTAAAAGGTAAATATTCAATCAATTCATTAAAGTTTTAATTATCAACAATATTTAAAATTTGAGACCTTTTCATCGTTACCAAGCAATCATAAAATCCGATGAAAAATTTGAGACCTTTTCATCATTACCAAGCAATCATAAAATCCGATGATGGTAAACAACCAAAAGAAATAAAAAATATAATTAAGATATTCGAAAGAGGCTCTGATATTATTGTTAGAGAAATATAATACATATAAAAACTACGGATGAGAAAAAACCGAACCGAATCGGTCATTCAATTCGCTTCTTGTTTCCAATAATTCCCAATTTTCAGTTTTCGAGTCCATGGTTCTCGGGTTTTTCAGATCTGGAACCGTTAAGGGCCATTGGTTCTTGCGTTTCGGTTCTCGGGTATAAATTGAGCCGGACCGAAATTGGGTTGAAATTTGAAGGGTTTTTTCTTAGCATTGTTTCACTCAACTTTGAACAGTTATATATCCTTCATTTGAGCTTGGAATGAATTTATTTTCCCCCGGTTGTAGCCCCTTTTTGCTACAATTTAGGCTCAAAAAACAGTTTAATTAGTTAGAAAATAGCGGAGTTACACAACTCTAAACATGGGCTATTAGGGTTTTATGTTTTTTCTTAACATTGTTTATAACGTTTGTCCAACTTTGAACGACCATAATTCATTCATACGAGCTTAAAATGAGCAGAGTTTTTTTCCCAGGTTGTAGCCCTCTGTCTTGGCTAAAATTCACGCTAAAAAACAATTTAATTAGTTAAGAGATAGTTTAGTTACACAGCCCTAAATGTGGGCTATTCACAAATGTTTATCGCTTTATATCTCATTGTAATGGTAAATTAAATCACTAGATAATGCGAAAATGCCACCTCAAAATGCAAAAAACGGCAATGTATATTAGAAGTTCAGTTCTTTGCCGTTTTGGAACCCAAAAACCGGAACCGGACATGTATTTTCGGTTCGGTTTGATTT